CTCCTCCTCCTCCTCCTCCTCCTCCTCCTCCTCCTCCTCCTCCTCCTCCCCCGTCCCCTCCTCCACCCTCTTGCTCGTCCCGCTGCTGCTGCTGCGGCTGCTCCTCCACAAACAGGTCCCATGGCACAAGTCTAAAGAGCAAAAGCCCAACCCCCTCCTGAGCCCACGGCGGTCCTTCTGTATTTTCGGAGGTTCATAGACCTCCTGCCCTGACACGTCGGTTATCGGATTGGCTTTTTTCGGTTCGCGAGAGGGCGTCGCGGCCGTTTTTGCGGGCCCAGGTCCGTCGGTTTCTTTCTTAGGCCGTTTTCATCCAAGGGTGGTTTACTAAAGGGAGGTTCTGTCCACCGCTGACATTCTAGCGTCTTGGCCGTAGGGCGCCCTCCCGCCTCCTCATCCTCCTGCAGCGGTGCGCCCTGCCCCGTCCCTCCCCGTCCCTCCTCGCCCTCCCGCTGGCTGTCCCCTCAGTGGTTTGGCCTGGCAGCCGGACGGGCGGCTGCGTGCGCGGCCCCCGTCGGGCTCCGGAAGTGCGAGCCTCGGTGCGCGTGGTGCCTCCCGGGCGGCCCACGCCAGGTGCCCAAATCCGCGCGGCGGCCGCCTGCGATAACAGCAGGGGCCTCCCGTGCGTCGCTTGGCGTCCCCGCCATCACGGAGCAACGCACCGCATCATCTTCGGGATCGGAAGCCGCCCGCAGTACAGAGAGCAGGCAGCGACGCCCACTTGGACTCATCGCCCGCTGCGGAACAATCTGGCATCCGAGTTGGCCCAGCGCGGAGCATCCTGCCCGCGCTCCTGCGCCCACTCCCGGTCCTCGTCGCTGTGGTGCTGGGCATTGCTCTCGCCTGCCTTCCTGGAGTCTTGGAGCCATCGAAGACGCCCATTGCGAATCACCGCCGCCCCTTGCCTTTAGAATCGCCTACTTGTGTGGCCAGACGTTGGGCCAACGGCTGGCGAGGATATTGGATGTGCTCCCCCGGCCGGTGTGGAAACCCTTGGGGGGACATTTGGGGGAGGAAGACGGAGGAGGAGGAGGAGGGGGAGGAGGAGGACCAGTGTAAAACCAAGACGCATCAAAGATGTTGCAATACATCCTCCAAGTTCCCTGTTCACAGATCCCTACAAATTTATTTATATTGCGGGAAATGCTCCATTGAAAGACAACCGTCTGAGATTTTGTCCAACTATCTTGTGGTATTGGGTCCTCGTTTTGAAGAGAGCGCCCCGCGTATCCTTCCTTCCCTCCCGCTGCCCTCCTCCATTCTCACATCCTTGCCTCTGCCCTCCGCATGTCCATGTCGGCACCCATGGGGAGCTCCACTAAAGGCCCCAGTGGCTGCGCTCGCATGCCACCACCGCGCCCATTTCGGCACACCCCTTGCACGATTCGTGGCCCCAAGGGGAGTTTCACCGAAGGCCCCAGTGGCTGCGCTCGCATGCCACCACCGCGACCATTTCAGCACACACACACACACTCACACACACACAACACACACACTCTCTCTCTCAAACACTCACACACACCCACACACCCACACACACGCACACACGCAAACACCCACACACACACACACGTCTCGTGGCCCCATGGGGAGCTCCACCTAAGGCCACAGTGGCTACGTTCGCATGGCGCCGCCGCATCCATCTCGCCACACCCTTCAGTGTCTGCATGATGCGTGCGAAAGTAGTGCAGGCCAACATCCCAGAAACTAATGCGACACGCGCTCTCTGCCTGCGCAGTGGCACTCCAGGCCGCGGCCCTGGGCCCCGCAGGAGGAGGCCGCTCGCGGCGCGCTCCTGTGGCGTGAGGCTGCCCAGGCCTGGCCCTCGACAGCACCACAGCTGTAGATGTGCACAGACGGTCCAAGATATTCGGCGCCAAACAAGTGGCATGGGATGCAGGAAAGGCCCACCGAAGGGCCCAGTGACCGCGTTCGCATGGCGCCGCCGCACCCATTTCGGCACATCCTTCAGACGCTCCGTTGCCCCAGAGGGTAGCTCCACCGAAGGCCCCAGCAGCTGCCTTCGCATGGCATCGCCGCATCTGTTTCGGCACCCCCCTGACACGTTTCGTGCAATCAGGAGTTTTGGGGGGGCTCGAACTGCCCCCCACCCCCTGTGTAGGGGGGGGTCGAACAGGGGGGGGGCCCACTGCAAGGACGACGACGGCGACGACGACGACGACGGACAACCGCAACATACGCATTACAAAATTTTCAAAACATCAGCCAGCGAATATTCCAATCAGACCAGGAGGAGGACATGAAGTGGACTGGAGTGGACTGAAGTAGGCTGTACAGGAGTAGACTGGACTGGATTGGGTGGGCTCTACTCCGCCTTGCTCCACTCTTCTCCACTCTGTTATATCCGACTCTACTCTACCAATTGCCCTACTCTTCTCAAAGATGCTCGACCCTACTCTACCCTACCCAAATCTGCTTCACCCTACTCTACTACTCTACAACTCTACTGATACTCCTGCTCTGCCCCACTTCTGCTCTACTGTACTTCCACTCGACTTTACTCCTCCACTCTACCTCCACTCTACTCCACTCTGCTTTATTCGTATATACCCTACTCTACTCTACCACCTACCCTACTCTACACTATTCGGTTCTACTCTACCCTGCTCGGCTCTGCTTCACCCTGCCCTGCCCCAACCTACTCTACACTACTCTACTCCCAGTCCTACTATACTCTGGTCTATTCTACTCTACTGTACTCCTAGGCTGCCCGACAATGTTCTGCCATCTACCATGCCCTGATATGATCTACTTTACCCTACTCTATTCCACTCTACCCCATCCTAGTTATTCTTCCAGGTGGCCGTAGCAGCTGAAGACCAGCTGCTCGCACTCCGTGGCCGTTCTCGTCGTTGTCGTCGTCGTCGTCGTCGTCGGTGTCACCATCACCGTCGTCGTCGGCGTCGTCGTCGTCGTCGTCGGCGTCGTCGGCACCGTTACCGTCACCGTCACCGTCACCGTCGTCACCGTCGTCACCGTCACCCTCACGGTCACCGTTGTCGTCGTCGTCGTCGTCGTCGTCGTCGTCGTCGTCGTCGTCGTCGTCGTCACCGTCACCGTCAGCGTCACCGTCACCGTCGCCGTCACTGTCACTGTCGTCGTCGTCGTCGTCGTCGTCGTCGTCGTCGGCGACGTCACCTTCGGCGACGTCACCTTCGTCGTCGTTCGCCATTGGCGAGGGGGATGTCGGTTCGACCCACCCCTCCCTTCGCAATGGCCCTCTTCGGGAGGCCTCCTGGAGGACTGGGTGGGGGGTCTCCAGGAGGCCCCTTCTCCCTGGCTACAGGCCTCCTGGAAGATCTGGTGGAGGACTGGGTAGCTCGCTACCGTGACCCATAGGGTCAGGGATGACGGCGATTAGGCTGCGGAGCAATGTAGATTGCCCAAGATGTGAGAATTCCCCTGGGCATTTCCTCCGGAGTGCTCGACTCGGGGACCAGGTGGCCCGAAATCTGGGATAGTTTTGCAAAGCGATGCCCAACGCAGGTTCACCTGGCGAACGAAGCCTCCGTCGGCTTGGTAAGTTCCCCCCCCTCGTAGACTTTGACACGGTGAGGCCAGGATTTGCCTTCGTTCTTCCCGAACTAGCCGGGTCGTTCGGTCGCACAGTGCGGTCGGTCACTGACATGGTCAAGAGGTGACTCGAGATCGGGATAGTTCTTCATCAGACGCTGTGCCGCCTCATCACGATCTCTGGTTTGTATCCGTGTTCCTCAGCGTCCTCCTCCTCCTCTTTCCCATCCGTCCTCATCCCAAAGAAAATACATCTGCTATGCCATGCTTGAATATCGGAGGAGGTTATGCGATGCCAGGCTGAAGCATTTTAGGAGGATCTGATACGACGGGCTGGCGGGGCCAACGTTAGCAAAGCGAACGGCAAGTTGGAGAGGGTATGGGGGGCATATAGGATGAAAAAGAAGTGGAATACGAGGAGGAGGAGGAGGAGGACGGAGCCTCCTCTTGCTTCTCCTTGTCCTCCTCCTCCTCCTCCTCCTCCTCCTCCTCCTCCTCTTCCTCTTCTCGTCTTCTGCCTCCCTACCACGTCATCACCCACATCAGAGTATTCCTCCTCCCTCTCCCTCTCCCTCCTCTCCTTGTCTTCTTTAGGTCGTTCCTCTTCCTGCTCGCCTTATCCTCCTATCCCTCTTTTTTCCTACTTTAAGCTCGTTGTTCGAATTGTCCACCCAGCTTTTCCTCCTTGTGATCATCCTCCCCCACCTTCTCCTTCTCCTCCTTCTCGTCCTGCTCGCCCGTTTCTTTTCCAAATGTTCCCCCTTCTCCTGTTGACCGCACGCAGCCGGCAGCGTCTTCCTTTTGATCTATGGTCTGCTGGTGATTCACCGAGGAGGGGTGTAGGAGGAGGAGGAGGAGGACGAGGAGGAGGAGGAGGAGGCACAAGAGGCCGATCGAGGGTCGGTGGTTGTCTCGCCCGTCGCGCCAGGTGTCGCTTGTCGAGACCGGAAGCACTTCCAGGTCTCGGAAGAAATTAGCGAACGTTCATGCTACTTTCGTCTGTCAATGCCCCCCAATGATCAATGATGGCGGTGGGTTGACTGAGTTGCAATTCGACGGCAGTCTTCCCCGCGCGTGCCAACTTTGAGTTTGGGGGAGCGGGGAATTAGTTGGCTCCCTCTACCGTCGCCATCTTGGGGTCGATGCCTTTGTTGAGGCTGAAGGGGCAGCTGACTTTGCTCACGTCCAGGAAGCCGCGCCGAGTCTTGCTCTCCAGCCTCGCCTTGCTCACCTTGGTCGGCACGTTTCCCATGGTCTTTGTGCGTTTCTGCCCCTCGACAACCCTCCTATGCCGTCACTTGGGAACAGGTGTCTCTGGCGGGAAGCTCTCAACGCCTCCTTGTGTCCTCACCGCGCCTGCGCGTGTGTGCATATATATATATATATACACATACATATGTATATATAAAAATACATCTCGCGATGATTGAACTGATGCGGTTTGACATACAACAGTCATAGTATGTAGCCATCTGGCTCAAGATCGTAGGGGCACGGGCTTGATCCGAAACTATATTTCGCAAGGCTATCTTGACCTCAGACGGCGAGGTGATCAGGGAGTATCTGCTATTAAGTCGGGCATGTCCTTTTACAGGAGAAATAGTTTCAACTAGTCGAAACATTAGTACTGCTATGTTTGACTACTTGGTGGGCACTGTTTGACTATTTGGTATTTGTAGTCCAACATCCGCCCGTCGGAGGACATGCCCGACTTAAATCTACCATACGCTTACACCGATCCTGGCCAGGCTAATCCTCGGTCCAGCTTCGGCGTATGTGCCTCCCTGGCCGAGCCGGGAGGGCGTGCGCACCGATCCCGGGCCCAGAACGATCCTTGCCGGGAGCAGCGTCGGCGTATAGTTGGCGTCCGTTCAGGTTAGGGCACGTTTTTCGTACAAGGCGCGGCCAATGATGTTTGCCGAGCATGCCCGTGAAGCAGGTGAGGCCAGATCTGAGGACTTACTGGCTGATGCGGGCCGCCGCGAGCGCGTCCAGTCTTCTCACACGCCTCGGCAGCGAAGGGTGGAACTGCGCAGCATCCTCGGTATAGGTTTGCCCATGGCCTTCTCCAACATGGCAAGGTCACTCTCCGATTTGGGCGTCGCAGTGATCCTCGGACGCTATGACACGGTGTACCTTGCGGCTGTTTCTGTGAGCTCGATTTGGACTGGACTCACAGACGTCGCAATGTTCTCTGGCTTGGGCCAGCTGTCCGCGTTGTGCAGCCAAGCAAAGGGTGCTGGAAATATGCTTCTGCTGGGCACTTGGCTTCAGATCTACATCGTGCTCGCCCTTGTGGCCACGGTGCCCTTGGCAGCTTTGCGATGGGCCACTACGCCTGTCTTGAAGGCGGTAGGCATTTCAGATGACGTGGCGCAGTTGGCGGGGGTTTATACAAAGTGGTCACAAGCTGCAGTGTTCTTCGACTTGTGCTTCTGCGCAGTCAAGGAGTACTACGCCGCTCAGGGTATTACGTGGCCGGATGCATTTATCGATGCTGTATTTCTTGTCATCAATATAAGCGTTGTCTACGTTCTGGTCCATGTGTACCGAATGGGCATCGTTGGCGTTGCAATTGCAGTATCCATCAACCGATTTGCTCGTACGCTTGTCTACGTGCTCTTCTGCTGGCGCATGGGCTTCCATCGCGATGGCTGGGGCGGCTGGTCGTGCAAGGAAATCTTTGTCTGGACACGCTGGAAGACACTGCTGGCGTTGACGATTCCGGCTGCCATTGGGGGCCTCGCGGAAGAGTTGCAGTTCGAGGTGTGCGCGCTATTAGCAGCTCGCATGGGAGCGGTTGACACTGCCGCGTTTAATTTGGTCTTGAATATATTCTTTGTCACGTTGATACTTGGCATGTCGATTGGCGATGCTACCGGAATCCGCATGGCGCATCACATCGGGGCTGGAAACATAGCAAGTGCGAAGAGGGCATGTTGGCTTGGTGTACACATTGCATCTGGCTCGGGCCTGTTTTTTTTCTTTCTGTGCACGGTGTTATTCGAGCCGATGGCCCACATGTTGTCGACGGACCCTGCTGTGCAGCATGAGCTGAAGAGGCAGAAGTGGGCAGCGGGGCCAGCGATCTGGCTAATGAGCGTATTCTTTGTTATCCAGTTGCCTGTGGTAAATCCCGCCACCTGGAGGGTTTCTCCGAAGGGTTTAGGCGACCCGTCCTCCTCTTCCTCCTCCTCCTCCTCCTCGAAGGATTGCAAAACAAAAAAACCACAAGGATTGCAAAAACAAAAGAAAAAACCTCCTCCTCCTCCTCCTCCTCGAAGGGTTTTTTTGCAATCCTAGCCATTTTGGCTCAAGATGGATTGTTCCACAGGGGAACACGTGGATACCGCTAGTCCGCGGCCAGTGCCAGGGCGTCGTTGCCCGACAGTTTTGTCTCAGCCAACGGGTCCGCCCCCGGTGGCCGCTGCCTGTCGCCGCCCTGCGACTGAGCAGTCCTGGGCGCCCGTGAGGTCCCGCTCATGCCAGATGGAGCCAAGCGTAAGAAGGATTGCAAAAAAACGAAGGATTGCAAAGAAACGAAGGATTGCAAAAAAAAAAACGACTTGAACGAAGGATTGCAAAAAAGGATTGCGAACAAACCAAGGATTGCAAAACAAATCCTTCGTTCAAAGGGTTTGTTTTGCAATCCTTCGTTCAATTGGTTTTTTTGCAATCCTTCGTTTTTTGCAATCCTTCGTCCCGTACGGGGTGCTGGCGGTGCTGCTGATAGTGATGCGCGGGCTAGTGCACAGCCTGCAGCCGCTGGTGACGACGACGCTCGTTCCCGCTCCAATCGAGGTGCATTCAGTGATGGTGAAGAGGACTTCATGGATTCGGATGGCTGATAAGAACATATCAAAGGCCTCATCCACGGCGAGCTGCAGGCCAAGTTCAGCATCTTCCAGAACGAGGTTACCGAGCTGGTCACCGCGTCTGCCAGCAAGGCCGCCTCGTCCGCTGTCGACCCCGTCATGGCCCCCATCAAAGGAGTGGAAGCTGCCGTTCAGCAAGTACCGCAGACATGTAAGTCCCAGTTGGAGGCGCAGCTTCGTCCCGAGCTCGAGGCCATGCAGAGACGACTACAGCTGCATATCGACACCATCCAATCGCAGGTCCGTGACATGGACACCCGCACAGAGACGCTGGCTACTGACATGGAGCAGCTCAAGTCCCTGGCCGACGAACTCCGCAAAGAGTTGGCGGCCGCAAATCGATCCCCACCACCGCCCAAGCCAACACCTGGGTTCAATCGTGCGGTGGATGGTACGATTCTCAAGGTCGTTGCTCCGACTCTCGTCAAGAAGTGTGACGTTCAGGACTCGGTGGATAAATGGCTCAAAGGTGCAAGCATCGACGGCTTCACTATTCTGGGCGACGACCAAGACAAGCTCTTCACGATCCAGTTCTCTGGGGCTGTGGGTATCGCGGGAAAGAAGGTTGTTGCCGCGTTATCTGCTCTTCGGCTACCAGGTAAAGGTCAATGGATGCGCTTCCCCATACCCGCAGCCAGTGGGGGCAGCACCCAACTGCATATCGGCCCCGACAAGAATCCGCTTCAGACCAAGATGGAGATCACAGGAAAAGAATGGTTGCAGCGCTTCGTGATGAGTTCAAAGACGCCAGATTCTTCTTCGATCGTCAAAATGGGTGAATCACGGAGAGTTGGAACCCAATCGTCAGAATCGAACCGCAGCCTGGTCGCGACCCCACGAAGATCTTCTGGCATGATGCGGCGATCACTGCACGGCAATGGTCACGTGCAGAGCTACGACGCCTCCTTGATCCTATCGCTGCGCCAACGGTGGCGCCAGAGTGGTCTCTTTAGCATCTACGACGACATCTTTCTGCGTCAGGCTACTGGCAGTATCCCTCTAAAGTGCTCTGAGCTGTCCTTTGTCACGTGGAACGCCCGCGCGTTTCTTCGGTGGCGAGGCATGCAAGCGATGTCTAAAGCTGCGTACTTACAGTTCGCAGGGATTTCGTCTTCTGTTTTTGCTTTACAAGAAGTTCATCAGTCGTTGGACGAGCTTCGCCTCTTCTTGCGGCGGATTGCTCCAGAGGTCACTGTCTTCGGATCGTTCGACACTGACGCCTACGGACATACGCGAGGTGGTATGGCGACGGTGGTGCCGCTTTCTGCAAATTCGCTGGCGGCGTCCTCTTCTCGCTCGCTGGTTCCAGGTCGGGCGCTCAAGACGTGGCTGGTTGGATCACAAGCTGAGGTTCGCCATTACAACGTGCACAACCATGACCTTCATCATGACGATGTTCAGCGCATCTCTTCCCTCATTTCAGCAGACTTAGAGTGGGCACAAGCTGGCCCTCAGTCAAGATTGGTGGTAGTTTGTGGTGATTTCAACTTTGCGGCATCGGAGCCACTACACCATGCTCAGCCGAGCCTGGAGCGATCGACCCGTCCGACCAACAACAATCGCACACATATGAAGGGCCGGTTAGTGGCGTTGGACAAGATGGTTGAGATTTCTGCGGAAGACCCTACGCATTACTGCAAGGAATCTCATACCGTAGCTCAGCTTCATCGACTGTGGTTATCAGAGCCTGGATGGGTTGCTTGTCAACTTCATCACTCTGCGGCTGTTGCATCGTCTCCTGAGCGTCTCAGCGAGCAGCGCAGTTCGGATCATGCTGCCCTTCGGGTTCATCTTCAGCATCGCCCCCCTGACGATCGCCATCGTCGCCCCGTTCCGCGTTTTGTATATCTATGTGATGACTTTCGCGCCCGACTCGACGCACTCCTGCGCCAAGATGGTCGTTTCTTTACAGACATGTCTCCACCTCGACAGATGGAGAGGTACAAGGTGCGTATAGACGCAGCGGCATATGATTCGCTCCAACAAATACTGGTTACCGACATCGACAAACCTGAAGCCCAGCTGATTTTCGCTCGGCAAGCTGCGCGCGCTATTTGGAGGCAGGATGCGCGGCTGGCTCAGAAGGTTGCCGACTCATCCGAGGTCTTCGATAGCTGCGTCAACATCACCTCCGAGGGACTGGTTCAGTTGATTCATCCACCGGCGTTTCAAGCTTGGGTGGATACCATTCAACATCGAGCGGCTGAGCAACAATTCGCAGTTTTCCAACAAGGTGCTCTTCATGGGAAAGGCCGCGCGAAGGTCTCTCCTGGCACTCTTTCTGCAGCTCAGAGGAAGGCCAAGCTTTGGGTCCCCTTCGGCAAGCGGCTCACACTGCGCGCCATTCAGGGTGGCGACCAGCAGCTTTATGATCCTGCCGAGTAGTTGAACGCTTTGGTCAGCTATTGGGCACCTGTGTCTGCTCGCCCACCTGCACACCCTGTTCATGCTGAGAGGTACGCCCAGAGGTTTGTGAAACCGTGGGTGTTCGATGATTTGCCCCCGCCGTCGTGCCAGATGCTTCAGCGTACCTTGAGGCGTATGGCACCCTCACGCTCTGCTCCTGGAGTGGACGGCCCCCCTACGTAGCATGGGCAGCACGCGAGCATGGAATTGTGGTCTTATGGCAGGCTTGTTGCTGGATGATGGATGGACAGACGCTTTTCCCGTCAGCGGGTGCGACACTGCAGGCATTTCTTCCCGAAGGGTGTCACGCTGGAGACGATGACGAGCGTGGGGTCGTTCGCTCCCCTGACAGTGTGCGTACCCTCGGCCTCCGCAATATTGATATGAAGGTCATCTCCGCGACTCTCAATGTGGCTTTCTGGCCGATAGTACAGCAAACTACATCTAGGACGCAGCGGGGATTTATCGCGGGCAGGCAGTTCACTTCGAACATTCTTGAGCTCGACGTCATGGCGAGGACTGCGTCCCTTCACCCTCGGGCGAGGGATCAGCAGCCGATCCCGGTGGCACTCGACTTCGGCCAGGCGTTCCCCAGCTTGAGCCAGCAATACCTCTTCACGGTGCTCAAACGGCTTCGTCTTCCTGAGGCTCTCTTCTCTGCTTGTTGTTCGCTGTGTGCGTCTGTCACTGCCGCGGGGCGGGTTGGTGGGATTACTACGGATCTCTTGGCCATCGAGTGCGGCATCATCCAAGGTTGTGCGTTGTCTGGTAGCCTGTTCGCGGCAGCCACATCGCCGTTTCTTGAAGATCTTCGGATTGGGTTGGAGCTCAAACATCGTGATCTCTTTCGTGCATGCGCTGATGATATTGGTGGAGTGTTATTCGCTTCGGTGGACCTGCGGTTCTTGGCACGGGTCATGGCGGTGGCTGAAAAAAATGCCAACCGTAAGCTCAAGCCACCGAAGTGCGTTATTGTCCCGCTCGCGGGGGCGTTTGGCGGCGATCTGAGAGACGGATTGCGTATGGGGCTTGAACAACTGGTGCCTCACTGGCTTGCCTTTCGCATCGAGGCGAAGCTACTCTACCTGGGCATGTGGTTGGGACCCGCTGTTACCCAATTATTCTCTTGGCTGAGCCCGTGGGATAAATGCAGATCACGCATCTCGGCGCTTTCTTCGTCGGCTGCGCCAGCCTCTTTGAATGCAATCAACTACATGGCCAGAGCACTACCCACACTGTCCTATGTGGCACAGTTCGCCCCCCTTCCCAAGCAGCTACTGCAACGAGATATTCACAACCTGGTGCGGCTTCTGCGGTTGCCTGGTGGCGCCCTTCGGCATGTGGATTTTCATTGTCTTGGCCAGTGGGGTGGCCCCAAGCTTCGTGCTCTTGGTCCAATGTGTGGTTCGGCTCTTATTCGTTCGGCGCTCACCTCCCATCCTGAGCATGTTCGTTACCTTCATCGTCTTCAAGTAGCAGCTGAACGCTGGGCCCCTTTCCGGGTACTTGCTGATCTACGAAATCTCATGTCTCCTCACTTCTGGGAGCAGCCAGCCTATGTGGAATACTTGGCTTCGGCGTCACAACGCACAGTTTCTTCGGGTGCTGTTGCGGCGCGCACACTTCTCACAGATTTCCCTGAAGCTCGTCATGCAGTTCAACGCGCCGCCTATGTGGCGTTACTTCAGGACATGATGCGACCGTTTCTGACAATCAAGTACAACACAGACCCGCCGCTGGCGGTCACGATCGTCAAACGGTGGTCCAAATGGTTCCCTTCCCTGGTGGATGATCTCACACAGATCGACTGGAAATGTTTGCAAGACAAGATGGCCACCTACCCCGCGGCCTGGGCTTCAGCGCTCCTGCGCGGCCTGTGCGGGGGCTGGCTCACGTCGTCGAGGATCTCGTCGCCGTCTGGACCTCGGTCATGCATCTTTGGTTGCGATGGCTGCTCAGATGAGATCAGCCATTATCTTGCTTGCCGCGGTCTCGCGTGGGGCATTGCCATGGCGAAGTCGGGTGGCCGCATCGAGCTGCATGGCAACATTCTGGATCGGTGGGGCATCCGCGGTGCATTTGACGACGATCTGATGAACCTACAGCTCGCCACCATCGTCTACCACGAAGCACGGCATCTGGATTGCGTCAGCCCTGAGCGCCTTCTCCATACAGCGCGGGGTGCTGTTCGTGTTCGTGCCTCAGCGTGCCCGAAGGCTGGGCGGACTAGGGCCCACTTTCGTCCGAGGCTGCAACTGAGCACGACGGGAATACCTGAACCGCCATCCCCTGTTGTCCAGTGGCCTCCAGTATTCAGGGTTGATTTGCCACGTGATCATCACTCACGGCACGACTGTCTACCTGGGCGTGTTCGCTATCCGCCAGCTTGGGGTGAAGCCAAATTCTCCATCTTACAGCCGAGTGGGAGCGGCCCCATCATGAGTGCGCGGCTGGCTGAATTAGGCTCTTTAGTGCAATCATGGGCGCGCAATTGGCTGTGCTCGTTCTTCTTCGTTGACAATGGTCTGACAGATCTCGAAGACTGGATGAAGTGGGCAACGGACTTCCTGAGCATCGTCTTTCGCTACAAGCACTTCGTGGGACTGTTCAGCGAACCTTCTGCTGCCTTGGAAGAACGAACTGCTCTGGCTTCGAGCGTGGCTCATGTGGAATGGCACAATTCACGTGCTGGTCGTCTCAGGCTCGGCGAGCACTACACAGAATTACAGCAATCGCAATCGAGCAGCTGGATCAAGGTGGCACATGAGCGGGCCCAACTTCTCTTGGAGCTTCGTTGGTGGCCTCATAGTTCTGCGTCGTTTGCAGTGGGTACGCTCGACATCGAAGAAGAGATCCAACTCCTTCGGCCTGAATCTCGGCCCCTTCTCCCTGAGCTGCGGGACTTTGGCTCGCTGGTTGCCGAAGACTTGCGCCGTCGTGGTGATGAGCTGGCTGTTGATATCTGGGAGGTGGAAAGCAGCTGCGGCATTCGCTCGGGTCACGTCGGCTCTCGGCCACGCGTGGGCGCTGCGGGAGGTGACCCTCTTCCTCAGTGCCGGCCTGGACACCCTCAGCGTGTGGCTCTTCGGGAAAGCGGTGGTGGCATTCGCTCAACATGTGACGGCGATTGGCTTCTTGTCAGTGCTGCAGGAGGTGACCCTCTTCCTCCGCGCTTCCCCGGACATCCTCACTATACGGCTCTTCTGGATCGCATTGGTTTGTGGTCTCAGAGATGGGTCCCGAGTTTGCTTGTCAGTACTGGCGGCAGCGACTTTCAGCAGTGGATGGAATGGTGCGTTCCTTACACTGCGGACACGTTGCGACATGGCGGCTTCAAAGATATTCTGCAATGCCCTGCCAACACGATGTCGGACGGGGCGAAGCGCTGGGAGCTTGCCATTGATCTTTGCTTGCATGGGTGGTATCAAGGCGCTATACCGAGGGAGCGTTTCCGTCAACAACTCAGCGGCCCGTGGCCGCCCAATGAACGGCGCCGCCTTGCAGCTCTTCGGCGCCAGGGGTTGGCGCACCTGCGGCAGTTGGATTGGTGCCCTGATGTCACGAGGATGCCACCAGAAGAGCGCGAGAATTTTCAGCTAGTTCGCCGCACGTTCTTTCCTGGCCCTGCAAAGGCTGCGGCCCCTGATTTGCTCCTGCTTCCACACCTTCATGAGCAAGCCCTCCTGGATGCTGCGTCAGCAGCTGCCTCTGCCCATCTGCCTGACGAAGACAACGAAAGTATTGATGCGGACGGCTATCCCAACCCAACCGACGAGGACATAGAGAGTATGGTTGAGGCTGCCAATGCCACGGCGGCGCCCGTACCTGGTGGATCCCCGCCGCACGAGTACGAGAATGAATCAATGGATCCTGGAGAGTTCTCTCATCACTTCGGCCCCATCCTCACCGACGAAGAGTTTGAAGCGCAGGTGCAGCTGATCTTGCGCAGGTCTCGGGAGTCCTTCAGGCGTGATCCAGGCGGTGATGCTGCGGCCTCTTCGTCAGCTCCGCCTGCGGCTTCGGCGGCTTCTCTCCCAACTCGGACTTCACCGTCGCGCCCTTCTTCGCCAGTGGCTGCCGACGCCAGTTCTGACGAGGAGCTCAATCAGGCGGCCTCTTCGTCGGCACCTCTTGCGGCTTCGGCGTCGTCTCCCCCTAATTGGGCTCCACTTGCGCGCCCTTCCTCGCCAGTGGCTGCCAATGATAGCTCAGATGATGATTTCAATCAAACGATGGCTACCTATGGGTTTGGCGTTATCTACCCAGACGGCTCCCTCGGGGGGGCGCTTCGGCCTTCTGCTATTTCGTCTTCACCTGCGGCTGCTTCAACGTCGCCGCCACACATGCCTGAAGAAGGACCTGGTGTTCCCTTTCATTGTGACAGCGATGAGGAACGTCAAGCTATGCTACAACTGCGGGCGCTCCAAAATGTCAGTGCTCTAATGCGGTCTGCGATCACAGTGGCGCATGGGGGCTCTTCTCCTGCTGCGGTACATGGAGAGGCTCTTTCGCAGGCTCAGATTGTGGTAGCTACTCGATATCTGGATGAAAATTACCATCTTTCTGCAGAGCAGCGCGAGCTTGTGATCTGGATGTTGCACAACCCAGGCTCTCGATTGGATGGCGACGCTGAGGACGTTCCCGCTCATCATGTACTCAATACCGAGGCCACGTCCCTCGACGACGGAGTGGTGGGCGTGGACGAGCTCATGATGGCAAGCCGAAGCTGAAAGCATGGAAGTGCTTGATGCGGACGCTTGCAGCATACACGACGTTGAGGATGAAGTTGGAGAGGCTGATGAAGATCAAGATGCTTTCAATCTACTGATGGCTGCGCAGTTCACCGCCGACACTGAGGAGGTGGAGCCTTCGGCTGGTTCGGCGGCTGCGTCCCTGCCAGGTGGCGTACTTCCTGCGGGTCAAGGGCAACAAGGTTCGCTGCCTGTGCCTGCTCCAGTCCGCCCTGTACCTGATTCTGCTGGTGATCTACCAACAGGTGAAGATCATCTGGACGGCGAGACCGTCGCTGCCGCCCTGGACGAGGACGGCGGCTTCAACGTCACTGAGCTGCCCGTCGGCCCGCGCGCCGGCGCTGGGGGCTAGGCGCGGGCGGCTGACAGACCGCGCCCCCCTCCGAGGCGTGGGCTCCTCCTCCATCTCCTCCTCCTCCTCCTCCATCTCCTCCTCGTCCTCGTCCTCCTCCTCCTCCTCCTCCTCCTCCTCCTCCTCCTCGGGTCGCCTACGGCCCCGGGGGAAACCGTGCACCGCCACCTTGCCAGCACAGCAGCGCAGCAGGGAGGAGGTTGAGCTTAATCCCACTCCAGTTCAGCGTATTGCATGAGCCTGTGTGAGTCTGAAATGCCGCCTTCTTCATTGTCTGCCTCGGTATCCTTGTGATCCTCCCTCCTCATCATTGTGATAATCATAATCCTTTTCATTGTTCCTCCTTTATCATCGCCTCCCCTCCTCCTCCCTCCGTATTGGAGGTTTCTCGGGGACTTATCTGAGGCATCTTGGGTTCTTATTGGGGCCCTAGTGGGGGCCTCTTGGGCGCCCGCTGGGGTATTGGGGCCGTCTTGGGCGCGATGTTACCAAGCTGTCCCGACGAGGCCCGGTTGCAACATATTGTGCACATCTACGCGGGTCTTGGGGCTATCTTGGAACCTGCCTGGGGCGGTCTTGGGCCTTCTTTGGGGGTTCTCGGGCCGTTTTGCTGCCGCTTTGGAAAGACTTTGGGCTCTCTGAAGCTTTCTCGAGGCGTTCTAAAGCCGAAAAGCTTCGAAAGACAAAGACGTAGAATAGGTTGTGTTTATTATGATTGCTGCTTCGCCTCATTGGGCCTCGCTGGGCGTCTCTTAGGCGCTTCTCAGGGCCTCTTGGTAATCTCCTGCTGCCTTTGGGAGATCGTTGGGCCGTCTTGGGCTGCAGCCGTGCTTCAGCGGTGTTTGACCGACGTCGTTCGATTTCGAGAAGGACGTCGGGAAGCAAACCTAGGAGGGACCGTTTTCTGAGGGTGACTGCGAGTAGGCGGGGGGTCGCCCGCAGACAACTGATAGACGCTCTAACACACACACACACACACACACACACACACACACACACACACACACACACACACACACACACGCACAGACAGTCACAGACACACACACACACACACCTGCACACACACACCTTCACACACACACACACCTTCACACACACACACACACCTTCACACACACACACGCACACACACACACACACACACACACACACACACACACACACACACACGCACACACACACACACGTGCCACGAGCACGGTGGCGGATCATTTCGGTGCTCACGAAGCAGGGCCGATCAGCTCTGATTGGCGTTGTGATCCCTCTACTCTGTTGGGGTGCTGGCTTGCCTTCCAGCTACTTCCTGAGCCGAACAGATGGCGTGCTCGGTATCATGATAGGCCTGATCGTCGGGTATTCCCTCGCTCTCATTGTTCTCTTCGTGGCTTTCTTGCGATCGGATTGGCCAGCGTTGGTTGCAAAGGCCCTCGAGAGCGCCGAAAGTGGTCCAGCGCAGCGGCCTTCCCAGCCGGCACACGGTGCCAGCGCAAGCGGCAGCGGTGGCATTCGCGAGAAGGAGACGACGTCGGCAAGAGGCATTACGAGCACGAGACAAGCGAGAATTAGCATGGCGCCTGCCACTTCTTCCCTTCTCCCGGAGCCTGACTGAAGAGACGTGAGTTCGTCGAGTCATATATGTGTTGGAAGTCCAGCCTGGTCGCCAGAGGGTCCGTATACCCTTGCATCGCTGGGATGCTGATCTAGTTGTTACACCCCAGCGCCGTACTCGCACCGTTTTCGAATCACCACAGCAGTAAAACAGACATGTAAAAGCAGAGGGCTCGTCTGTGCAACGTGCTAAAGCAGCACGTAGAAACAACGTCAGGCTCGGCAGGTCCGAAGCAGCCACCAGCATCTCTCTCGCCTCCAGCGAGTCGCCGACCCCCCCTCACTTTACGGAAAAACGCAGATGTCGCACGACGTGGTGCCAAAGCCTGGGCAGTAGGCCATTGTGCTCCCCCAATCGTTGCTTCAACCCTTCGGGAAGCATGCGGGAGAGGAAGGAAAACATCACACCGGCACATACCATGCCCGCTGCCCAACCCCCTCGTTTTCCAACCTTCGTCTTTGTCCGCCTCCGCACCGCCGCTTTTACGACGCAGGAAGCTTCTCGCCAGAAGCGGGAACCCCTGTAGCAGGCTCGAGCAGCGCGGGGGCCTGCTTTCCAAAGCCCCGTTGGCAGTATCAGAAGCCCCGTCGGCGGGATCGCGTGTCATGGAGACCCGAACTAAACTTATGTCGGGCGTGTCCCCCTACAGGGGGATTTTCGACGAACAAATTCAAAATACCCCAAAAAGGCAAAAAATATTTTAAAAATAGTCCCCATACTATTTTTGAAGCATGTTTTGATTATTTTTGGGGTATCTTTTAATTTTCGTCGAAAATCCCCCTGTAGGGGGACTGGCTCTGGCATTTGGAAGCTTTCTCCAGCACGTATTCTGCCAGATGACACAAATTTTCTGCTGGATTGCTAGAACAAGCATCCGCTAGATGGTCTGGCGTTCCGTCAGAGATAATAATGCTGCCGGATGTTGCCCTCTGTCCGTCGAAGGCGTTTCCGACCAGCAGCATCTCGTCGCATTTATTCGGAGGCAAACGCAGCACCTCCATCTAATATTTGTTTAGTGCAAGCGCTCCGCAGTATTTTGTCTCTTCCGCCGAGCTTTTTCTTGGAACCTTCATTGGCAGAAGCAAGAAGCTTCGCCCATCTCCCCCCCACCCGACCCCCCTCCCCTTCTCCCGACCCCCCAGGGCGCCTGGCCCCCCGACGACTGCCCCTCTCCCCCGCGGAAGTGCGAGCTGTTTCTCGCCCAAGGCGACCAGAGAAGACAAACCAATATAACACAAGACAAGGCAAGACGAAGCACGACAAGACGAGACATCGCCTGACAAATCACGCCAAGACAGCCTCCAGCCTCCAGATCGGCCCAAGGTGGCCGCAAGACGCCCCAGAAGGGCTCCCGAGAGGCCAGCAGCCTGTAACAACCGGAGAGGAAGACGTCATCTGGGCTTCGAGAGAGCCCCCCCCCGAGGCGAAAACATGTTCGACAACATGTAACTGGGACCTCCGCCGCCGCAGCTGCCAGCCGAGCCGAGCCGACGTCGAGCGGCCAATGTTTGGTTATTTTCAGCCATTGGGAACCCTCCGCGGGCCCTGGGGCCATCAAAAGAACAGCTCCGGATGAAACGCCGGCCCTGTGGAGGTTGTCCAGATCTTTGGGGGTCCTCGCATCGGAGAAAGTTGAGCGCCTCGGACGTCTGGCGAGCCCGCCGCCGCAGCTGCCAGCCCGCGGGCCCCGCGGGCCCCGCGGGCCCGCGGCTGCTAAGGGCGCCTGCTGCTCGTGGCCGCCGCGGGCGCCGTGCGCTGGCGCCGCCGCCACCGCCTCTCCTAAACGGCGTCGTCGCCGCAGCCGTCGCCTCCTCCTCCTCCTCCTCCTCCTCCCCGCTCCTCTTCCCTCCTCCTCCTCCTCCTCCTCCTCCCTCCTCCTCCTCCATCTCCTCCTCCTCCTCCTCCTCCTCCTCCTCCTCTCCTCCTCCTCCTCCTCCATCTCCTCCGCCTCCTCCTCTCCTCCTCCTCCTCCTCCTCCTCCTCCTCCTCCTCCTCCTGGCTCCTCCTGGCTCCTCCTGGCTCCTCCTCCTCCTCCTGCTCCTCCTCCTCCTCCTCCCTCCTCCTCCTCCCTCCTCCTCCTCCTCCCCTCCTCCTCTTCCTCCTCCCTCTCCTCTTCCTTGGACCGGGCCCGGGCTCGGGCCGCTCTGGCTCGGGCCGTCGGCGTGGGCCCCCCCCCGCGCCGACGCGGCCCGTGGCGCCCGCGCACCTGTCGCAGGCCGTCGCCGGCCGTGTGCACCCGGAGGGGGAGGGAGGGTGGGAGGAGAGTTTGGGGGGAGGGAGGAGGAGGAGGAGGAGGGGGAGGGAGGGTGGGAGGAGATGAGGAGGAGGAGGAGGAGGAGGAGGAGGAGGAGGAGGAGGAGGAGGAGGAGGAGGAGGAGGAGGAGGAGGAGGAGGAGGAGGAGGAGGAGGAGGAGGAGAGAGGAGGAGGAGGAGGAGGAGGAGGAGGAGGAGGAGGAGGAGGAGGAGGAGGGGGAGGAGGAGGAGGAGGAGGAGGAGGAGGAGGAGGAGGAGGAGGAGGAGGAGGGGGAGGGAGGGTGGGAGGAGAGATGGGGGGAGGGAGAGAGCGGGCGAGGAGGAGGAGGAGACGCAGGAGGAGGAAGAGGAGGCGGCGGCGGAGGAGCACGAGGACGAAGAGACGGAGGAAGGAGGAGGGAGGAGGAGGAGGAGGAAAAGGAGGACCGATCTAAACCCGAGACCTGGCAACGATGTTGCGATACACCCTCCCTCCTTTTTCCCCCTTCATAGGCCCTATACACTATACATGGATGTACTTTCACTCTAGGGAAAAGCCCCGTTGGAGGACAATATTTAGACAGTCATGCACCGTACCAGAACACCGCTCTGGGACGTCAGTGCCGCGAAACAACGTTACTGTTGCGTCCTGACGTTCCTGAAGCGCGCCAGAACACCATTCCTGGGACGTCAACACCGCGAAACAACGTGACTGTTGCGCCCTGACAGTCCTACAGTCGTGCCATTTTTCTTGGACGTCAACCATAAGAGTCCTTGAACATCGTGTAAACTCTGACGACGAATAGCCACATTTTGAAAAGGAGCCGCCCTTCATCCATGAAGCTTCTGCAGACTCTTAAGACGAATGCGCGCTGCGCTAAGGCAAGAGCCATATCATGAAATTAACCCGCCTTACACGTGTGAAGCTTCTGCAAACTGTTAAGAGGAATGTGCGCGAGGGCTGAGGCGATAGCTACATTTCGCAAAAGAGCCACGCTCCATCAACGAAACTGTTGCATGTATCCAGCTGCCTGCGGCAAGTTCCGCCACCGTGCCAGTCCAGCAAGCTCGGCGCCTCTCCTTCAAGGGGACGCCAGAGGCCGCACTTGCGAGGGATGACGTCATCTTAACGATGATAATGATGGTCATGATGATGATGGTGATGATGGTGATGATGGTGATGATGGTGATGATGATGATGATGATGATGATGATGATGATGATGATGATGATGATGATGATTATCATTGCTAGTATTGTTATGACGATGATGCTGATGCTGATGCTGATGCTGATGCTGATGCTGGTGCTGATGGATAAGAAAATCCTGCTGGTGATGGTGATGGTGATGCGGCTGCTGCTGCTGCTGCTGATGATGATGATGACGATGATGACAACGATGGTCGTTGGGATCTCGTCGGAGCTCTCTTGTGGGCTTGTTGGAGGCAGTTTCGAGCCCCTCTTTTGGGCCGTCTGGCGGCCTCTTGGAGGCCTCTTGGGGGGGTCTCCTGGGGGCCTCTTCGGGCGGAAGGCTGGAATTATCGGTTCGTGTTCCCCCTCTGGGGCCCCTCCTGGGCCCGTCTTGGGGTTCTCGTGGGCTGATTTGAGCTCCTCTTGGGCCATTTTGAAGCTTTCTTGGACTGTCTAGGGACCCTTTTGGGGGCCTCCTGGGCCGTCTCTGGGCTGTCTTGGGGGCCCCTGGGGCCGTTTTGGAGCATCGGAAGCTTGGAAAGGGGATAACGTGAAAAACAAAGAGAAAACATATTGAACATAATTTAATGTTTGCCTCTCGGGGCCTTCGTGGGGGTCCCCTTGGAGCGCTCTCGGGGCTTCTTTGGGGCCTCTTGGACGGTCTTGGAGGCATCTTGGGCCGCCTTGGCGGCCTTTGTCTTCCCAGACCCGTCTTGTTGAAAGCCATCTTGGGGATTTTTACAGACGCTTTTGGAGACTGCCAGGGACGTGTCGGGGCGCCGACGGAGCCTCGGGACGAAGGCCCGGTCCGCGCGACAAGGTGTGGCGCGGAGAGGGGGGCTCCTCCTCCTCCTCCTCCTCCTCCTCCTCCTCCTCCTCCTCCTCCTCCTCCTCCTCCTCCTCCTCCTCCTCCTCATGCTCCTCCTCCGCGCCCTGCGGGGGGTCTAGGCCTCCCAGATGGGGTCGGAGGATCGCGCCACATCGCCGATGCATCGCCGATGCGGCTCGATGTGGAGCCCGATTTGCGTCACGCCGACGTCGCCGATGCATCGCCCATGTCGACGATGCAGCGCTGGTGCATCGGCGGTACCGGCGATGCATCGGCGATGCGGCGCGGTCTTCCGACCCCATCTAGTCCGACCCCATCCAGGAGGCCCCCAGGGGGGCCTTAGAGGATTACAGAAACCCTACCAGACAGCACCTGGCATTCCAGGGCGCCTCAGCGCGCCAGGGGGCACGGCGGCGGAAAGTCAGCTTCAGGATCACGCGTGTCGAGGAAGTCTCGGGGGAGACGCCCGGCCCGCCCCGACGATGCGTCTCGGGGTTGCGACGGGGAGGAGCTACTTCTGAGGAGCAGGCATGGAGGTGGAGGTCAGTGAGGGAGTGGGAGTGGCGGGGAGGTGGACGGGGGGGATCAGGGAGCCTGTCCGGGAGGGGATGGCAGGGGGGGGGAGGGGGGGGGCAGGAGGGGACCAGGCAGGCCAACAGGGTGCCGGTCGCGGCGGTGCGCTCCGGGAAGGCCGCGGCCGGAGCGCTCCGAAGAGCTGTGGGCTCTGGGGCGCACCCTTCGCGGGCCTCTGGGATTGGGTCGAGCGGGTTCTGCGGTCGGGCCTCGTTCGGCTGGGGGGAAAGTCGAGGGTCGAGGCCGGGGTCGTTCGCTGACGTCTGGCGTTCGGTAGCAATTTTGGCCTGTCTCGGGGTAAACTGCTGGCGCGCAGCGCGCTCGAGCTGCTTCAGCACGTAGTGCGGGGCCGAGCGGTCATTCGCTGTACCTGGGCGCGTGGCTGAAGTGAGGTTATGCAGTGCGGAGTGTTGTTGTTGTTGTTGTTGTTGTTGTTGTTGTTGTTGTTGTTGTTGTTGTTGTTGTTGTTGTTGTTGTTGTTGTTGTTGTTGTTGAACATTATTATTTCTAAAGAATAATTATTGTTGGGACCCCTGGTGCATGGCCCCCCCGCCGCGCCTAGGCCGCAGC